GTACTGCAAACTGCTCCAACGCTCAAAGTCTCACGGCGGCTAGCAAGTGCGCACACACCAATGCCTGCCTTACACAATCGGGTATGGTCAATCACCTCCCTGAGGCTGGCTGAGACGGGACCTTACTGCGACGACTTCCAGGCTCACAGAGTTCGGACACAGGCCCCCTCGCGGGTGACTGAACACTCATCCGGCAGTCAACTGTCTCCTGCCTCTCCTTCACTAGTACTCCACTGTACAGAATACACTATTCCTTTCGCCTGACGCTTAGCTGTGTCTCTTCCCCTACGGAATTGGGCCTGAAGATCCCAGCGGCAAGAGTTTTCCCTATTAACTAAACCTACCGCAATAAGCTTTCGCCTTTCAGTCATTTTTAATTCTTGACTATACAAGGACCATGAAGTGTAAGCAGCTTGACAAGCCCCTCGCAAACCAACGCGTTTGGAAATATTTGGATAGTGAAAAAGTGTACTTCTGCGTTTATTATCGCTGTAGTTTTGATTCTATTCGTTTGTACTAATTGTCTTCGCTTTGTCATTCGTAAACGATGTCAGAGCATCTAAGCCAGAAAGTCAAGGAAATCGCTGTAAAATTATTCGGGCAATTGGGAAGCAGCTGAACACTGTTCGGCTTGTCCGCCAAAATCACACGGAGGAGAAGTCTCGACGAAGGAATCCCCCCTCCCCCACGCATATAAGTAATTAATGAAGTTCAGCGATGATACCCATGTAAGCATTCAGGAAGTCAAGTTAGGCGAACGAACGTTTTCGATTAATTCATCATCAGGCAGTACGGTAATATAAGGGAGGGTAGAGTTAACGAAAGTTTCAGGCAAACCAATCAGTAGTCTCTTACCACGCGGCGTAACAGTGACGAGACTGCGGCATCAAGCATCCACAGGCCACCGACGCCGACACACAAGAAGTTGACACCTTGCATCCTCAAACCTCCCAACAAAACTCGAGACGAGGACCACGGAAGGACATTAACTAATTGTCGGACTCCTTCCCCTTCGCCTCCTCCCAACCCCCCCCCTTTC